TTCCTCTCTCTCTCTCTCTCTCTCTCTCTCTCATATAATTCATTTTTAGTGGATAGGTGTCAGTTACTAGTTTCCTTGGTAGTTCAGTTCATATTATTGTGTTTGGCATTGCTGTTTGTTCAGAGTTTTTGGGTGAATTTACTCACATAAATCTCTTGTTTTTGGGTTTGTCATCTCCATTGCCAGTTATTTGCATGTGTTATTAACTTGCATTAGACTGTATTGAAAGAATTTGAATTTCGGAATTTCTTGGGGGCTTTTCCAGATTTTGTTGTTTTTCTCAGAAAATTCTGCAAAAATCTCAGGAAAATTAATTAAAAAAAATGAAACTTGAAATAAATAAAAAATAAACCCCAATAAATTTCCCTACATGCAGATATGATTTGGATTTTCTACAAAATAGCAATTTTCCTGTATTTTTGAGCTTTAGTTTCCTAATAAGCATATAATTAAGGTCAAGGAAAATTCACGTTTTTTGAAGAATTGCCTGGAAAGAAAAAAAAAAGAAGCGGTAAGAAGAAATTTGTTGCCTTTTATAACATTTAATAAAAAGCTTATGTTGTTTCTAGGATTCCAAGCAATAGGCCGGAACATGAATCTCCTCATCCCAGTTGTGAAGATTCTTCACCAGAAAAGCCCTCTAAATCTCAGCCACTGCCTGAAAAAGACACTGGAGATGCTGAAAACCATCAAAGTGGCAGCAAGAGGAGGAGAGATGAGAAGAGGATCGAGAAGCATGAGAGGAGAGAGAAACATAGACATCATTCAGAGGAGAAGAGGAAGCACAAAAGAGAGAAAGGGAAGAGGAGGCACGGCTCAGATTCAGGAAGTGACAATTGACAAAGTGCTTGTTATGTAGTGTGATGAATGTTGTATTTTCAGAAGGTTGTTGATTATTTTTGTTTGTGGGAAAAGAGATGGTTGTACATGGAAAGTTCGTTAAGATCAGAAATTTATGTAGACTTGGTGCAAGTGAATTTTTGAGATCCTTGTGCTAAGCATAAAGGATTTGGGTGTCTTTATTTATTGAAGTAAGGTGCACTTCAAAAATCCTCTAGAAGAATCCAATGTTGGAAAAACTTTTTACAATTTGATCATCTCAACTTAAACTTGTATGGATATAAAGAAAAATAATAATTTTTCAAGTCTTAAAAATAGTATTTCTTGTAACAAATTATATGGACAATCTATTTTTAAGATTTTAGGTCTATTCAATATGTACTATTTTTGGAATTTTAAATTATCTAAATGGATTTTTAAGCCATCATAAAGTTTTCGACACTAAAACTGTATCGCCAACAAAATTTAGAGGTGTGGTTCACTTCTGCAATAGAAGAAACGTATACAAACCTCACCCTTGTTTAATTAGCTGCTGTGCTAGAATGCAATCAAATGTCTTAAAAAGTGATCCATGTGAAGGCTCTTTTCCTTGAACTCTTTGAAATGTTGCATCAGCTAAGGAAACTAGTAAAACACTTAAAAAAGATGGAAAATGAATTTTCCTTTCTAAAGTTTTGAGTGAAGTGGGTTTTCACCTGTTCACAAAACCCCGATAAAAGCCAGGGTTTAACAACTGCAGATTGACCCTGAATCACATGAGGATTGAATCTATGTCACTGCCAAGGATCATTCTCGAATTAGACTCTATAATGGAAAATAAAAGTCATTCTCAAATTAGATTGTACGATCTAAAATAAAAATCGATTTTGTATAGATCATTCTACAATTAGGCCGTGTAATAAAAAATAATAATCACTCTCGAATTAGACTGTGTAAATAGAAAAGGTTTTGATTAGACCATTTATTTCTTGTACATGGAGGTCACGATCATTTTTGTCCATTAAATTTCAAAATGGGTGGTTGTAAGAGTGTCATTGAATAAACAAAATTTCAAAAAAAAAATAAAAAAAATGTCCTAAAGTTCGTGGCTCACCTCAAGCCATTTAATTTGACATCTAATGAGTAGGAATAATTGTGACCTCCATATACAAAAGATAAATATTCTATTTGTAGACAATTCGAATATACAAAAGATAAATATTCTATTTGTAGACAATTCGAATATACAAAAGATAAATATTCTATTTGTAGACAATTCGAATATAAAATAAAGATCTAATCTATATGAAGCACGAGTTGGCTCGTGGCGAACTAGAATAGGTTGGGATCTGGTTTTCATGGAAATGAGATTTGGTAGTATTTATTAACCGAAGGAGCGGAGTTTGTATGATCTTTGTTTGTGTAACTTTGTATATACTAACGAGGGGCACGTGCTTTGCTTGGAATATACGATTTAGATATTTTCAGTAGGACCCAGTTTTTATGAGTCCCCCGACTCATAGTGTTTTCAGGTGGGCTCCCTTGAACACCTATTATTTGTATCAATCTTGGATCCAAATTTGTAGTGATCCATGATCTATACTATGATGATCATGAATATAAAAATAAAATATAATAAAATAAAATTTTTATTAGAATGTTTTCTATCCGTTGTATAGGAATATTTAGTTGTGGATGTTTATCTTAAAGATGAAGTTTGTCATTGTGCGGGCTAGTGAGTCCCCCGATTCACAAAACACTTTTTCTTTTGGATCCGGTTTTTTTGCGGCCAAGCCCGCATATATAGAAATGTGAGCTTTTTAATAAACCTATTTTTGAGATGGATTTTAACAAATAAATAAATTTTAAAAACTAAAAATAATAATTCTAATAAGAAAACATTTGGGCCGTTAGTTTCTTTTGTTTTTAAATGAAACACCTAGTTGCCATCTTTAAATGGATGCTTTACACTACCTAGAGCACATATGTAGAAATGTGATCCAGCCCACATGAAACAAATTTCCTTTTCTTTTTATTATCTCATACCTAACAAATTATCTGATGCATTCATAGATATATTATAGCAAATAAAAAAGGTTTTAGCAATTCTGGTTGTTAATTCAAGAAGTGCACCCAATTTTATTTGACATAAAATATGTCTCACATTTTTAATAGGAATTATATAATATGAATATGTTTACTTCTAATAGACAGAGGTCACAATCAAACATGCCTATCAGATGTTATTCAAAAGCCTGGATATGTCACAGAACTCGAAAAATTTTGAAAGTCAATTATAGACTCTAAGCCACATGATTTAAGATCCAGGATAGTGATTTACGACCACCTTGTACTATAAGGAAATGGTTTTGTCACGCACCATATCTTTTTAATAGATGTTCAAGTGAAATCATCTAATATGTAAAATTAAGAAACTAAGATTTTCCATCAATTTTTTTTAAGACGGTACATGTTGAATAAATAGGCCTTCAGAAGTTCAGTTAAAGGGTTTTTATTATGATATTACCGTAACAGTATATTTTATGCATGGGCTCTTGAAATTTTGCAACCCAAGTATTTTTTATTTTTATCTTTTTCAAAAAGCAAAACCGGTTTATCATAGTAAGAAGACTGATTGTCCCCATTTTTGAAATTATTCGAATTATATTTTAATTTTTCACGAATTTAATTTTCTATATAAAACTTCATTTATTAAAATATTATAAAGTAAAGTTTCTTTCTAGGAAAGCATGAAATTAGTAAGTTATTTTATAAATTTAAATATAAATTTTAATATCACTTGACATCCCTAAAAGCGAGTCCTAAAAAATAGTCGAACTTAATTTTTACCTGAGGAAGCATGAGGATATTGTGATCTCTTCTTTTCCGCAATAGGTTTCTTCATGATTTATTATTATTTTTTTCGTGCCGTAAAATCCAAAGAACTATACAAATCGTAAGGGAATGAAGAAATATATTATTATATTATTATAATATACTATTGAGGGTTACCTATCCAGAAAAAATATCGAGTATTTCACCAAAGAATATCCGGTTTGTGTTTTCTTTCATTTTTTAATTCGGCTAGTTTAAGTTGATTATTCTTTGCACGTGTTAGGTTATTAAAATTTTTCCTTAACTCGTCCCAAACACGGGCAAAGGAGGTCCCAAACACGGGCAAAGGAGGTGGGTTATATTAATTAGGTAACCAAGGTAAACTTTTACTAAAACTTTCCATGAATCATGATGGTTAGTTTTGTAAAACTGGTTTAATTCTAGATGCATTGAAAGCATGTCTTTTTCTTCTTTTGGGGTAAATAAAAAAAAGAAAAGTATACAAGGAGACCATTTATCTTTAGTACAACGTGATCACAATTAATCTTCACCATTGGATGTGAAATTGCGTGGCTACATTTATTGCATTGGCCAAGCTCAAAGTTCAAAAGAATTTTCTCAAACTTTGTGACACATCGAAGCTATCAAATTATCAAATTTCATCGGAAGCTATCAAATTATCTAATTTCATCGGATGGTTACAAGCAATGATTTAAAAATTGCTGAGTCAGCACGGACTTGGGCGAGTCGCCACAGGAATCGGGTCACCCTATGTCGATTTCAATAAAATTCACAGTATCACTCGGTTCTAGAGAAGAACTAGCACCAGCCTGCTTGAGTAAGAACCGACGCGAGTCTGCCCGAGTCTCTACAATAAACCTCCCGGTTCTACCAGAAAATCGGAGAGTCTGCCCGAGTCTCAATAGTAAATAAATCGCAAGAGTAACCAGCGAGTCTGCCCGAGTCTCAATAGTAAATAAGTTACAAGCAGTGATTTAAAAATCGTCGATTCAGCACGGACTCGGGCAAGTCGTCATGGGAATCGGGTCACCCTGTGTCGATTTTAGTAAAATTCACAGTATCGCCCGGTTCTAGAGAAGAACCGGCACGATTCTGCCTAAGTCAGAACCGGCACGAGTCTGCCTGAGTCTCAACAGTAAACCTCCAGGTTCTACCAGAAAACCGGTGAGTCCGCCCGAGTCTCAATAGTAAATAAATTGCCCCGCCAATAGTAAATAAACTGGTGAGTCCGCCCGAGTCTTAATAGTAAATAAATTGCCTTGCCCCAGTCTCAATAGTAAATAAACAGGTGAGTCTGCCCGAGTCTCAGTAGTAAATAAACCGCCAGAGTCTCTAAGTAAATCACCCGAGGGTAATTGGGATATTTTTTTCAAAACGGGGGTTATTCTATTATTGCGAGTCACCACGACTATCAAGAGGCCCCATGCCCCACGCATTTGTTCTTGATATGAGCCTCCTCAGATCTTTTATACCCGTTAATGGTCATTGAATTTTTCGATGTGGGACAATTCCAACGATAACAATTTGGAAAGGTAATACATCGTTTTATTACGTTAACACGTTAAGTGGCATTGTGGCATAGTGGTTATCATCTTTGATGGTAGAGGTCGCTAGTTCGAATTTTCCCGAGCAACATTTTTTTTTAAAATAAAATAAAATAAAAGGTGCCATCTTTTTATTTAAAAATTAAAGCATTCTTTTTTTTAAAAAAATAATAATTAAAATGTACCATCTTCTTATTGTTCTTGTCAAAAACAAAATTTTTTTATCAAAAAATAAAATAAAATAAAAATTATCATCTTCTTTTTTTTCTTGTCAAAAACAAATTCTTTTTGTCAAAAAATAAATAAATTATTGTAAAAAACATATTCTTTTCATCAAAAAATAAAATAAAAGGTACCTAGGCAACACCATATTCTTATTTTTCTTGTCAAAAAGAAAAAAAGGTAATATAACAAGTATTTCTTATTAAAAAATAAATAAAAGTTAATACAACCAGTATCATGTTTTTCAAACACGCATTTGAGCTCTGATTATTGTAAGCTTAAATTAGATATGTAAACGTAATACAATATAGGCTTGAAGCATGTTAGCTCTTTTTTTCTATCTCATATATAAATGCCTATTATTAGATTTTTTTTTTTTGACTTAGGAAAAAATGGTCTAATTATATTTTTTATTTTTATAACATAGCGGTCTTTAACATAAATTTAGGAATATTAATTTAAAGATAGGGTTCATACACTGTGTCTATTTGAAATATCTATATCTCTCTCTACTAACAATCTCTTCCACTAAATTTATTCTAAAAACCTAAAAAACTAGATTTTTGGAAAAAAATTGCATTATAAATTATGCAT